TCCATTTGGTTGTATTGTTCCGAATCTTTTAACTTCTTTCAATTTGATTGTAATATTTTTTGTTTTATTATAGAAAATAGAAATGCCTCCAAGAAAGTATCCTTCTGGATACGATAAACGTAAGAAAAAAAAGAAAAATTAAACAATTTGTCCAAACTCAAAGTGGAGCGCTTGATAAATTCATTGTTAGAGAAACACAAGATTTAGTTGAAAATTCAATTGAAAATGATGACATTAATGATTTGGGCCTGAATGAGTATGAGAATGAAAATGTTGATGATCGAAGTAAAATGAAAATGATAATGAAAAAGAGAATCATAATGAAAATAAAAATTATAATGATAATGAGAATCAGAATGAAAATGAAAATGAAAGTAAAAATGAGAATCAAAACCAGAATGAAATTGATATTGACAATGAAAATAAAAATGAGAATGAAAATATTTTAGACAATGAACAACCTAATCAGTCCATGCTCATGAATTTGAATATTTATGATCCAAGAACTTGGGATAATTTGGACAAAAAATCTAGAGATATATTAGTGGAAAATGACCCTATATATAAGAGATCTATTAGTCGAAAAAGATCCTAAAGATAAATTAGGAAGATGTTTTTCTTCGACATTTTACACTAGACATTTATCAAATGGAGAGAAATGCGATAGAGAATGGTTAGTTTATTCAAAGGATATCGATAAAGTATTCTGTTTTTGTTGTAAATTGTTTAAAATGGTTTTAAGAAAAGTTTTTTAATAAACGAAGGATTTAATGATTGGATACATCTTAGTGCTAGGCTTAAAGAACATGAAACAACTAATGAGCACATCATTAACATGAATACTTGGCTTGATTTACGCATAAGATTAAAGAAAAATGAAACAATCGATAAAATATTCAAGAGAAAATTAATAAAGAGAAGGAACATTGGTAGAAAGTATTACAAAGGATAATTTCTATTGTTAAATATCTTTCTAAACATAACTTGGCATTTCGAGGAACAAATGAGAGAATTTATCAAAATAATAATGGAATTTTTTTAGGTCTAATTGAAATGATTGCAGAATGGGATCCGGTAATGCAAGAACATGTTCGACGTATTGACCATGGTGAAATTCATTATCATTATCTTGGTCATAGAATTCAAAATGAATTGATAAGTATGCTAGCTTCTAAAATCAAATGTGCAATAGTTCAAAAAATTAAAGAAGCTAAATATTTTTCAATAATACTTGATTGTACTCCGGATGCAAGTCACCAAGAACAAATGACTTTAATATTACGATGTGTCTATATTTCTACAAGCTCGATAAAAATAGAAGAATTTTTTGTAGAATTTTTAAAAGTAAATAATACATCTAGACAAGGACTTTTTGAAGGATTGCAAAATATGCTAAAAGCTCTTAATCTTGATATTGATAATGTACGAGGTCAAGGGTATGATAATGGGTCTAATATGAAAGGGAGACACCAAGGTGTACAAAGAAAATTACATGATATAAATCCTAGAGCATTATACACGCCTTGTGGTTGTCATAATCTTAATTTAACACTTTGTGATATGGCAAATTGTTGTGGTAAAGCAAAAGACTTTTTTAGAGTGATACAACGTATTTATACATTATTTTCTCACTCAACAAAGCGATGACAAATTTTGATAAATAATGTAAAAGGTTTAGCTATGAAGCCATTGTCGGCTACACGTTGGGAAAGCCATATTGAAAGCGTTAAAGCAATTAGATTCCAAACGCTTGAAATAAGAGAAGCACTACTTCAGTTAGTAGAAACTGATAATGACTCCAAAATAAGAAGTGAAGCATATTCTTTAGCAACACATGGAATTGGAAATTTTGAATTTTTATTAAGTATGATTATTTGGTATGATATATTATTTGCCGTTAACTTAATTAGCAAATTTTTACAATCTAAAGACATGCTTATAGATATTGCTATAGATCAAGTAAAAGGATTGATTAGATTTTTTGAGGATTATAGAGAAGTTGGGCTCACACAAGCTATGACAATTGCTAAAGAAATTACAACTGAAATGGAACTTGATTCTGTATTTCTAGTAAAACGTTAAATCCGTAGAAAAAGATAATTTGATGAGAATGTTAATGAGGATACAACACAATCAGCTGAAGAATCTTTAAATCCGTAGAAAAAGATAATTTGATGAGAATGTTAATGAGGATACAACACAATCAGCTGAAGAATCTTTTAGAATCAATTATTTTTTGAGAATGTTAATGAGGATACAACACAATCAGCTGAAGAATCTTTTAGAATCAATTATTTTTTGTATATTATAGATCAAGCTATTGGTTCACTAAGGCAAAGGTTTAAGCAATATAAAGCATATGAAGATATTTTTGGATTTTTGTTTGGTTCAGAAAAGTTAAATTCATTAGATGATAATAATTTGAAAGCATGTTGTGATAATCTTGAAATTGTTCTAAAATATAAAACATTTTCTGATCTTGATGGGAAAGATTTATTTGGAGAACTAAAAATCTTACGAAATATTTTACCAAAAGAAACAAAGACGACAATTGATATACTGAATTTCTTAAAAATAAGAAATTGTTTTCCGAATGCATGTATTGCTTATAGAATATTATTGACTATACCTGTTACAGTCGCATCTGCAGAAAGAAGTTTTTCAAAATTAAAATTATTAAAATCTTATCTGAGATCGACCATGTCACAAGAAAGACTAAATGGACTAGCTTTGATATCCATTGAAAATGATTTTATAGATAAAATTGATGTTAAAGGCTTAATTAGTGATTTTGCAGCTAAAAATGCAAGGTGGACAATTTTTCGATGATACTTTTTTATGCTAAAGGCTTTGATATCTCTTATGAAGGTAAGCACAGATACAAAAGGAACATAATATGCAAGTATTTCTTATTGTGAGCTATTTGCTCTATTGGAAAGCTTTATTAAGATAAGATTACATGCATTTATCTAATCAGTAACATTTTATTCAGGTGACCGAAGAGATGAAGAATGGGCAATAGATTACATGCATTTATCTAATCAGTAACATTTTATTCAGGTGACCGAAGAGATGAAGAATGGGCAATAGCACTTGAAAAGTATGTTAAAGACTATCCAGATGTAAAAAAATCAGGTAATATTTTAATGTCTGATCAGTAATATTTTGTTCCCTAGCATTTTAGGGATTCAAATTGAAAATTATTGATATTTTGAATATAGAGAATGGTCTGTGTTTACTTTTCGCACAAGGCCCTAAAATCTCAGAACCGGCACTTCTTCTAGCCTATCATTTGTTGGTCGGTTGTGAAGAATATCTTTTGCAAAAGAGTCAGAGTTCACTGAAATCAAAGTTTTTTCTTCGTAAATTCCTAAGGACGGGTATATATTGGCTACATTTTCGTCAAATTAAAGAAAAGAACATGTGATGACATACATAAGGTCATCCCAACTGCTTAAACTGTACGTTTTTATGTTATTCACTATTTGAATCACAGGTCGATAGTTGTCATCTCGCAACTGGCCCCACAATTAATAAATGCAGAGAGAAACCATACTTCCATTGGACAAATTTTCAAAACCGACCACTTTGGGATTTTAATTGCAAAAAACGACCCATTTCAATCTTATTTATAAAAACCGACCCAGTTGGTTGAAACTGGGTCGGTTTTTAAAAAAAAATTTCCCAAACTTCACGGGAGTTCAACTCCCGTGAAGTTTTGTTATGAGAAAAACTTCACGGGAGTTCAACTCCCGTGAAGTTTCCCAAAAAAAATTACAAAAACCGACCTGTTTTCAGCCCCTGGCTGAAAACAGGTCGGTTTTTGTAAATATTTTCAAAACCGGTCGTTTTTTGCAATTAAAAACCCAAAAGGGTCGGTTTTGAAAATTTGTCCTACTTCCTTTCATATATAAGACCCTATTTCCACAAATCCCTGGTACATTCTTTGTTCTTCACTATTCTTCTTGTACAATATTATCGCTAACAACTTTTTCAGTTGAAATTTCTATCCTTAAAGCATTAGCTTGTGTGTCAGACGATCTTCGACCAAGATCAAGCCTCTTGAGCCCTCTAGTGCTCATCTATGAGCGCATAGAGTCCGATCATTAGAACAATAACTAATTGGCCTAAAAAAACAAGAAGGCAATTAGCTTCTTGCTCTCTTTATGATGTCTCTATTTCTCTCCTCCTTTGCTAACCTTGTAGTCGTGACCTATTTTGGCCAACAGTAGCCTTCCTCTTCTAGTAAACACAACAAGCAAAGACCCTAGGCATCCCATGAAGGAAATAGACACCCGATTGGGTCACCCACGCCCTTAGCCTCCTACCCGTTTCCTCGTCTCAGCCAAAAAAATATCGAAAAATTCTTTAAGGACCCAAAATATGGGACAAATAGGGGGGACAAGTGAAGTGTCCCCCTTCTATTGGATAATGAGTTGGCCATCATTAATGATGGTCAACTCATTATCTAATAGGAGGAGGACACCTCACTTGTTCCCTCTATTGGTCTCATATTTTGGGTCCCTGTAGCAAAGCTCAAAAATATCGCCAGGCACCAAAACGATTCTCGAAACCAACCCAGCACATCTTGGGACCTAGCTTCTTAGGCCTTATCTTTAACCAAGGTCACGCCCCCACGAAACAACGGACGCTTGTTTCCCTCGCAAACCCCTAATAAGGCAAAAAAAAAAAAAAAAAAAAAAAATCGAACCCGTCGTAAAAGCCAATAAAATAACTACAAGGCTCCTCCTCACCACCACATCAAGGCTAACAACAAACGCGACATCCACGCGGATTCGGTAACCGGAGCCCAAATCAACGGCTCCTTCAGCCCCAACCCAGCCAATCCAACGGTACATATCAAACCTCAACTCTCGAGCCGCCTCTCTATTAATCTCCCCTCTCCCGAGCTCCCTTCTCCTCTTTCTCATTTTCTAACGAAAAAAAAAGAGCTAAAAATAAAAAATACTCCCAAGAAAGAAAATGATGCAGCAGGTCGCCGGCCGGTGAGCAGACCCAAATTCACATCAGGCTCCTCGCGCCGAGCAGCCGTGGGTGGCGCGTGCAGTACCCGGCGGCGGCGATGGTGATGCAGCAGCAGATGATGGCGGCGCCGCCGCGCCGCCGCAGTACGCGGCGCACTTCATTACCTACCACCAGCCCCGCCACTCAGATGGCGACGGGCGGCGGCCGCCGTTGGCGGCGGCGCGCAACAGGGCTCGTCGGAGAGAATAAGACGATCTGGGTTGGAGATCTCCATTACTGGATGGACGAGAATTATCTCCATAGCTGTTTTGGACACACTGGGGAGGTGAGGGTTTCTTCTCTTTTGATTAGATCTCGGTGAATTTTTAGTTGTCGATATTATTTGATTGGATTGGATCTTGCTTTATTTGCTATTGTTTTGGATCTGAGATGTGAGCTTTGTTGGTTAGTTATTTTCAGTTAATTAGAGAATGTTTTAGTGATTATGTAATGCAAGGACAAAAAGATACGTTCTTTTTAAGTATTATTTCTTCACTAGATATGGTGTGAAGGAAAAGAATCTAAATTTTGATACTGACCGTGAGGTAGATTTGTTTTAAAATCAAAAGAAGGAAAGTTTATTCATTGGCTGATTTAAAATGTGAATTAACTTGCATGAAGATTCAGTTGATTGATGTGAAATTAATGATCAGTTTTTGTTAAGCCATTTAGGTGTTTGATCTGGAAAGATGTCACTTGAGTATGGAGATTGCAATTATAAGGCGAAGTTTAAAATTTTTAGAAGCTATCAATATTTTAAACTATTTTTATTTTGTTCAAATAGTTCAATAAGTAGGAGATGGTAATGGTTCTCAGGCCTTTATTTGATCTAAAATATCAGTATGACTGGAATGTGTATTTTTTGCTCTTGTCTAGGTATTAATTGTGTAATATAACTGTATAGAAAGGAATATGTATGACTTTTTCTTTGCTAGATGCGTATATTTTTCAGAAGATAATTTTCAGCTAGCATTCTCCCTGCTAACCAAACAACTTTTAGAGTTTTAACATAGAAAAGTCAGATGAATGGGAGGTTCTTCATAACGAATATTCCGTCATATTTATATGTTCTTTTCTTACAAATGTTTCAAACTATTTTCTGAATCACTTGTGAGCTGTTGATTCTGAAAGATCGCTACAATTGAGATTGTTTTTATAGAACTAAACATAAGGAAAGGTTTGAAATGTTAGAATTATTAGTATTTTGACTAATTTTTCCAAATAGTTAAATGAGTAGGTGGTGGAATTCATGTTGAAGATCAAGAACGTATAGTTAGTAGAATTTAACATCTCTTTTACATTTGCTGTTGCAAACATTATGTTGGGTCGTGTGTGGACATTGACTATGAGAAATAAATCAATAAAAGAGAGAATCAGGTTGCGCTTACAAGTAATTAGTCCATGATCCATAGTGGACGGGGGTGCCTCACGGGAGACTTCCCCTGTAGTTGCATGATGTGCGAGGGAGGGGGACTCCACTTTTTATCCAGATGCACTAGGAGGCATCTCTTTGGCATAAAAAGGTCCCCTTTTCATTACACATTGTATAAAACGACAGAAAATATTTTCATATTTCTGCTGATATTTAATCAATAAAACATAACAGGATCTGCAATTGATTAAAGTCCGTTTCCATGTGAGCAGTTGTCACTAAATTTTAGAACGGTAGAGACTCCCATTAGTGTTAGATGCTGGAGAATAGATAGAATGAGTTGGTTATTTAATGTCATGTGCATTAGATGACTGAAGATTTTCTATCATGAATACACTCCAAGGTACTGTGCTTGTGTATCAAGACCTTGAATATTGAGTTTTATGTTGAATGCACTAAGTGAATCACCTGTTTAAAGCTTATCCAAGGAGCTTCTACTTGCTTGACGAAAACTTTGTGATAGATCAAGGTACTCGGATGCAAACTCCATGGTCGAGGAGATATATACTTAGGGAGGATATGCCCATTGACTGACCCCGACTTGTATGCTTTGAGAAAAAACAACAATAAGAGGGAGGTCTGTCGGCTGAAACAAGTCGAGCGCTTGTAATCAACTATAAAATTTATAACTAGTACCCATACTCAGTAGAATCTAAGATGTGCCAACCTGAAGTTTTTGCTTCTCCTTGCCTATATCTCCAACTCGTAAAACATTGTTGTGTATGCTTCAGAGAGAATATTCCGACTTGGTGACGTTTACTGTGAGGTTTACACTCATCTTATAGTGATGATTTGATAGCTGTTTAACCTGATTTGAGCCTGTGTCGTTGTAATATCTATCTTGGCAGTGCTATGTTGTACATACCCTGTAGGCATCATGCTCGTGTACAACAAATATTCTGAATTGATATGTAGAAAACATTTGGTGAGATATCCGGGTATATCTGCTTTGAAAATATTACTATTTCATAAATTTTTTTATCATAGCCTTTGTAGGTTATCTGTCGTGTATATATATCATTGTTGTCGAGGCGTGCGCCTCGGGCGCGGGGCGCTGCGGGCTGGGACAATTGCGCCCCGCACCTGAGGCGGGGCGCTGCACGCACACGAGGCGCGCCCTGGTGTGCGCCTCGCGTGCGTCTCGTGTGCGCTTGACACCCGCGTCATATAATAGACTCTTTCTTCTGTTTTTTTTATAAATAATTTACATATTACATATTTACATCATGTAATAGACTCTTTCTTGCTAGTTGCTAATCCATTCTCTATTTTTTCATGTTTAACCTATAAAAAGGAAACAGTAATTAGTAATTTAGTATACTTGTTTGCTAATTGTAACTTCCTTCTCTAATTAACATGTTAACTAGAAAATTATAAACATGTAAATATGTAATTGTTATCTCCATTCTCCATCTTTTCATGCTAACTAGCAAATAGCAATTAAGAATGCTAACCAGAAAATTATGAACAATCATGTTTTTTTAATCACTTATTGTTACTTAAAAATACATATATCATATTTTAAACGAAAATACATATTTCTTATTTGTTACTTGTTTTGTTTCATAGACTTTTGCTTATGTTGGAGATTATCTTGCATTGTGATTTGTGGAAACTTATAAACTTCTCTATGTTATGCATGCTAATTAAGACTTTTTCGTGATTTAGTAGGTGAAATTATATTTCTTGGTCTTTTTATGTGACAATTAATAAACATGTTGCTTATATGCTTCTTTGTCTTATGTTGAAAAATATTAGTTTGAGTTGTGCGCCTCAATTTAGTGAGGCGTGCGCATCGTTGTGCGCTTTGCACATGGTGCGCGTAAGGGGCCTTTGCGCCCCGCATTACGCCTTGCGCCGCAATAACAATGATAGATATGGTCTATATGATTTGGGGATCCAGAGGTTTATATGATTTGTTCTTTTGAATCTTGAGGTTACATCGTGTATTATGCTAATTCACGCACACATAAAAATCGTCATTCATGTCTCCTTAGTATCCAAGTTTCTTAAAGGTTTCAAGTATGCAGAAATCTGTATCTTGTCTGTTCCCTGCTTTTTAAACATAATTGTAACATGACATTTTCTTTTTCTGGAAAATACATCTACAGAGATTACATTATCTAGGTCAAGTGAATGGATAAAGAATCCCTATAGCTGGCAAGGGTCAGAAACTGTTCATTCAGTCACATTCAAGGGGAAAACTTGATTTAACATTGGAGTAGAAGTTTCGAGTTCCCTCATCTTTGTTGATCTGCAATAATGGTACAAACCAATTAATGACAGTTAGCACTTTTTCCAGTTGAAAAGGAAGAGGAAGGAATAGCATAATAGCATGTACCACCTCTTTTGTGTTGATGTTATCATTTTGTTTGAGAGGGTGGTACTGTTGGCTGTAATGCTTCTCATTGACCTTTTGGTCAGGGATGGACCATGTTTATGTTTGTGACTGATTCTCTAGTAACATATTTGATTCACAACCTCTATCTATTTACTGTCCTCTCTGGAAAACTCTAGCTGCTATCAGAGAGGTAGTAAAAACTAATACTTCAGTTGTGACATTTCTTAAAACGCACATGCTTGCTCGCTGGGAGAATCATTTTTTCATTAGTTACCTGTTCAGAGAAATGCCTCGTAACACTTCCATTACCTGTCCATATCGGTTGTTTTGATACTTGGGGCAAGAGATGATAATGCTTTGGGATGGTGAAATCTCATCCATTATGGACAGGTTTTCTAAGAGAAGCACCAAGAAGTTGTCCTATTGGCTATTGCAAGAAATCAGTCTTTCCACCTTTGCAAATTCTGTGCATGTAGAAAATTTTCTACTTTGATTAAAAATTTATTCAAATCGAGATCTTGCAAAGTTTTCTTTGTTTTCTTAAACATTTTGGAGATGCTCTTTGCTTCAACAAGTCATCATTCTGATGAAATCTGAGCTATGTAGTTGCTTTAGTATCTCAAGCTAGCTTAGCATAAATACAATTGTTAGATTGAATTCTTGGATCATTTATAGTTACATTAATGTTCTTTGATGTTAACCTTTCGTTATCACTGTTTCATCCAGGTGTTGAATATAAAAGTTATACGAAATAAACAAACTGGACAGTCCGAGGGATATGGGTTTGTTGAATTCTATACTCATACAGCCGCTGAAAAGGTACTACATACCTTCAGTGGACACATAATGCCGAACACAGATCAGCCTTTTCGCTTAAATTGGGCTTCATTTAGCATGGGTGATAGACGAACAGATGCTGCTTCTGATCATTCTATATTTGTAGGAGACCTAGCTGCTGATGTTACAGATTCTATGTTACAAGAAACTTTTGCTAGTAGATATCCATCTGTGAAAGGTGCAAAAGTGGTTATTGATTCAACTACAGGCCGTTCAAAAGGCTATGGATTTGTCAGATTTGGAAATGATAACGAGAAAACACAAGCCATGACTGAAATGAATGGTGTGTATTGCTCTAGTAGGCCTATGCGCATTGGTGCTGCAACTCCGAGAAAGTCAGGTAAATCACTTCCTCAGAATTCCTTACAAATTGTCTTTTAACTTATATTTGCTCATTTATTTGGTAGCCTCTTGAATCCTTGGACACATTGTTTCAGTAATATTAGAACCTATAATTTGTGGTGAATTAACGTGATAATTTGTACAGAAAATGTACCAATTGAAGTATCATCTCTTCGTACAGTAATACTTTGTGCTTATTTGTTGTCCAGTTCACTCGAAATATTCTATTTTGTGCCTTTTGCATGAATGTCTCTGTTTTTAATTACATGCTTATATTCCTTTCTCACTACTATGTCTGTTCTTTTGCTGCCTGTGATGTCTTTATTAATTTTCATGGAAATGGTTATGGGTACCGCTTCGGGTGCTGGTACTGGTATGTGCAAGGTAAATTTATAAAAATGTATGGTACGGACACACAATCTTATATATATTGAAATTAATAGTTCACATGAAATTACTGTTGTTTTTCAATTCATGTGTTATTAGAATTAAAATTCCAATCACATTTTTCAGTTTCTTTTATTATGTTGATTATTATAAATTGGAAATTGCTAGTTTTTGAGCTAGACAACCAAACGACCCTTTAAATCATAGTTTTGAATGAGGTTATGGGCTGAAACAAACCGGACCAATGTTTCAAGAAATAGATGTGACGTGTATGGATGTGTAGAATATAGGTCCAAGAAGTATATGACAACTGTTTTCATTTAAAACATGTCATATAATTGAATACGTCTGAATAAATGTATGCATATGCATATATCAAGGAGTGTTCATGATGTTACATTACTGGATTGTGTCGGGGAGTGGTACATCTTCATGATAGAAGTACCTGTGTAACAGTGTCCTTACAATCATGCTAATCTTTCTTTGTGGAAATGGGTTTCTGGCTAGCATCAACTTTTTAGTTCATTTAATTCTGTTTGCACGAGTAAAGTTGTTTGAAGGAACATCATGTAAATTTGTGTAGCCGATGAAGAAATCATGTACATTCATTAACTCATTGAGTCTTCAGTTCTGCCCTTTATGGGCATGGCATGGAAACTGGTCAAACCCAAAATTCATGGAGGGATTTCCAGCCACTTGCTGAAGCTGCATTAATGACCACTGCTTAGAAAATGATTGTAACAGTTTAGAGAAGATGAAATATGCCAAGATCTGTTATTTGCAAATGACAATCCACGATGCAGGTTGACACTTTTCATGTAATCACTGCACATTAATACATATGTTAACATCATACACTAAAAAAATTCAATTCACATGGTAATGCTACATCTTATTTTGATTAACTAACACAGTTCATTTTAAATTCATTGTCCTATACAATTAAGCCATAGCAACATAAAGCAGTTCTCAATACAATTATTCTCAACACCAGTGGTCGTGTGTAAAAATAAAAAAAATGATGAAATATGCCAAGGTCTGTTATTTGCAAATGACAATCCACGATGCAGGTTGACACTTTTCATGTAATCACTGCACATTAATACATATGTCAACATCATACACTAAAAAAAATTCAATTCACATGGTAATGCTACATCTTATTTTGATTAACTAACACATAGTTCATTTTAAATTCATTGTCCAATACAATTAAGCCATAGCAACATAAAGCAGTTCTCAATACAATTATTCTCATCACCAGTGGTCATGTGTAAAAATAAAAAAAATCTAGTCCCACTTACATGTTCACATGATATTATTGTTGCCTTCAAATTCCAAGCAAATTGTAGCGCTTAAATCATATTTTCTTTTGTAGAAAATTAATATAGGTGAAAGTATAGTTTTTCTAGTTGTATATAATTCAATAAGGTTTGCTACAAAATCTAAAAAGGTTAGAGGTTGGAGTCGTAGAGAGATGAGAGGTTGAAGATGAGGGTGTTTTGGGGAGAAAAGGAGGGGGAGTAAACAAGGTGCGGTCCATGAGGTCTTTCACACAAATAATTGGTTAAAAGGGGAGAACAAACAAAAAATTCAAAAATGGAAGTTCAAAATGAATTTTCCTAATAGATAATGAAAGTCCATGTTGTAGAAAGAGCTAGGCATCGCTAGATGCTTGACTGGCACTACTTAGGTGGATTTTTTTTCTTTGTCTAAGTGGCAGTGGAGAGTGGAAATCACAATCTAGACCTAAGCGGTGTGTAGTCTGCATGAACCTCCAATATGAGAACTTTTTTATATCTTGAGCGGCATTTTCATCCTTTTATGTCATGTGCTGGTCACATGACTGTTAAAGTTCACAGTGTTAACTTTGGAGGGTTATGTTAGACAAGTTTGGGGGATTAAGTGGAATATACAAAGTTAGATGGAGGGTATGTGAAGCACCCCCTAAAGTTATGGGGGTTAAGTGAAACTCACCAAAAACATTAGTATATGATGAACGATGTATTAGAAATAGGTGATTAAGAGGTATTGGGTTTGTTAGATGTAGTATTTTTTCCTCTTTAGGTGTTTCTTTTTATTATAGTTCTCTATCATTATTAGAGGTTCCTTTTCATAGGACTTTCTATAGATATGTCCTCAAGTAATTGTATATATAAAGGATATTGCTCAATAATGAATGAATGATGAGAGCTTTCTTTTTTGATCATAGTATTAGAGCTCTCTTCACCGCAATAGTACTTAAAACAAAGTGTAATTTGAATGTGATCTATCCCGTCTTTCATTTTCTTTGAAAATTGTAGATTAGGCTTGCAAACATCGAGAGGTGTCTCTAGATCCGCATATTGAAAATTACATCATGTTGATACTTTTCTATGATGTGGACAAGTTCTGGTTGTGGGGGAGGGGGGGTCCTGAAATCCAGTTTCTCTTCGGGAAGTGATGGTTAAGTCAACTAGAATTCAAAAGTATAACTGTGATAACCAATAGTTGGATAATTTTTTAAAATGATCATTCTAATTGTTCTACCTCTATACAAAAACTTGAATTCTTCTCATCTGCCTAAAATTATTCTACAAAATTGTGTAGAATTAATTTGTCCCTCAAATTATCCAACTCCGATCTCTCATTTATTTTCTTGACATTCTCTTCATTGTGCACATCCATGATCCATCTTCATGTTGATTTATATCCACATGAAATTGTAAAATTCGATGTAGTAATCTTATTTGAAAAATGGGTATAAATTTTAGCATGTTTATATATGTCTAGAAATTGATGATTTTTCTGATAAAAAGAAATTGAAGATTTCAATATTTTTTTTATCAAATATCTCACTTTCACAAAATTTATCCCTTATTATTCTGCGAAAATATTCTACTTTTACAAAATTTATCCCTTATTATTCTGCGAAAATATCCTACTTTCACAAAATTTATCCCTTCTTATTCTGCGAAAATCGTAATTCTAACATGAAGCCATGGATGAGAAAGGAGGCGAGATAGTCGACAATCTCAAGAGCAAAGCAGAAAAGGGATATGAAAGTTCACAAGGGAGATCTAGAGAGGGAAATCTCTTCTACGAAGAGAGAGAAAGTCAAGTTAATGTTGTATTCATTACCCTAGAAGAAGAATCTAACACCGAGGCGGTTTTCATCAGTGTTCCCGTAGTCATCAAACTCATTAGATTGGTTGAGAACAAAAACACCGACCATTATAAAAAATGTAGATCACACAATTCATAAATTCTTCGAGAATAATCTCCTTAGAGGGAAAGGTTCAATTGGCAGGACTTGTATCAAATCAATGATGAAATCTCTTCAGTGAATTGAGGCGTTAGCAATATTAGTAGCTAGAGTTAGCAACACATTTTGTGATATTGTTTCACTCTTACGAAAGAGGATAATGCTGATGTTTGCGAGAGTTAAAAAATGATAATGTGTCAACTGCTTGTTACTAAGCTCATAGCGGTTGTTATAAATCAAGAAGTTGGTAATGAGTTAGTAGCTTTGCGTACTTTCGGATCTCTCCTAAAGGAGCCTGTAGATGATCCTAAAATCGCCCACTAAAGAGATGCTTGAGGTAGCTGTTTTAGTTTTTTAAGAAGTGTGCGTGTTTCAGCCCAGAGCCTAGATTAAACTTTCAAGGGATTTTGTTCCATACTTCATGAAAGAAAAATAGGTAAGCATGTAAAGGTAATGATTGAAGATATTTTGGGAAAAGAAGCTGGGATTTCAAGACCGTCCTTTTTAGCCAGTACTTAGAAAGAGAGTATCAACATGATGTTCTAATATGCTGATTTGGGGCCACCTCTTGTTTCTCCATTTGGTTAGCTTGATTAAAGATACAGACGAAAGTTTGCCCTTTTCAGCTCAGGGCCTAGATGAAACTTTCAAGGGTTTTTGTTCTACACTTCGTGAAAGAAAAATAGGTAAGCATATAAAGGTCAAGATTGAATATCTTTTGGGAAAAGACGCTGGGGTTTCAAGACCGTCCCTTTCAGCCAACACTGTGCCATGTAGAAAGAGAGTATCAACATGATGTAATTTTCTAGTATGCAGATTCGGGGGCACCTCTAGTTTTTCTATTTGGTTAGCTTTATTAGAGATATAGATGTGAAAATTTTGGTTAGCTTTATTAGAGATATAGATGTGAAAATGGAGCTATAAAGTGCAGGAACAAAATGTGTAGAAATGCTGTAGTGATTTGCACGGAAATGTGCTGCAATCCTGGCAATTTTTTTTAAATTACCCTTATACCCTGTTTGGGTGGAGGGGAATAGGAGAGAAGGGAACGGAAGGGAAACATTCACCCCGTTTGGGGATCTTGTATGGGGTGAAATATTCCCCCTGTTTTGGTATCTTATAAGGGGTGAAATATTTCCCCTCATTCCTTTAAATTCACTCATGAATACAAACTTTGTTCACCCGAAATTTGGCGGAGCTTAGGGGAAGAGAATTTGCTTAGCTTCTCATCTCTTCTCTCCCTTAGTTCACTTAACTTCCCCTACCATAATAAAATCCCAAACAGGTTGCTAATCTATCTAGTTGCCATAAATGTTGAGCAATCTCAAAGTAATAACTACTTTTAATTGCTTACAAAGTTAAATGCTGCATGGGGTAGGTATTAAACAAGGATTTAGTGCTCATGTCCTACAAGAAGTGTTAGTGTGTGATGTTTTCTGCATGCAAAGTTTTCTGCATTTCAGGTGTAATAAACAAAAAATCCCCACAAGGTAAGGGTTTATTAAGGGCAAGGGTTTAATGAGATGCAAAAGATTCAGAGACAATTTAGTTCAGGTTTTTTGCATATGTAACCCTCATGTTTTCAATATTTGCAAAATTGCCCCTCAAATTTTGGTATTATGAAATTACTCTTCAAACTAGCATATTGGGTCTTTCTATCATTCCAACTTAAAAATATTGCTTTTTATACATAACAATGTCAAATTTCCTGATAATTTCCAATAGGTCTGCAACAATTTCTTGTTTAAAAACTAAAATTGGTAAGAGGAAGTGGTAGGAAAAAAATCAATGTGTGAGAATCGGGGGTAATTTTGCAAATACCAAGATTTGGGGGTTAACTTTGCAAATAAGGAAGATTTGAGGGTTATGTATGCAAAAACCCCTTTAGTTTATTTTTATTTGTTATTGTAAGTCCTTGAGAAAAATAGTTGGATCCAGCTATTGATCCTGAATTGTAATGTATGTATATTTTAAATAAATCCAAAGCTATGATCTATGGCTGACTAAGTGGAGCAGATTAGTGTTCATGTATCTACATTAGAAAGCTATGGTGAAGTTTTCATTGTTTTTCGTTAAAGTAAAAGCATTGAGCTCCCTTTGAGGTCTTGAACGGTGGTCCATGGATCTTTATTGCAACAACCCTTTTACGACTGCTTCAAGTACCACTTGGCAACTTAGTCTCATTTTATAAGGCACAATTATTATTGACAAATACATGTTTTGTTATTAAAAAAGACTAGTCTAGGCTTTTAATGAGTTCATGTGGGGCCTTGAAACAACTTAACCATATTGGTGATGCATTTGGAGCCATTTATGTACCAATCATTCGTGCAGGAAGATCTATGTTATGTGGGTTGAGTATCAACTTCAAACTTTATTCCCAGAAAACTGAACTTCATACCATGCCCTTCCACTTTCTAGACTCTTTAAATCGGTAATCTTTCTTGTCCCTTTCCTTTGTTTTATGAGTGATGTTGGTAAGTGTCTTATATGTACTAAATCAAAGTACATATTCTTCACTTCAATGTTTTACTTGGGACAAGTTTAAGTAACTTGCTTCTGTCTAGCTGCCTTGGTTGCTGCTATGGATGAAGTACGGTATATTTTCTGTCTTTCGAATAAGGTAATGGATATAAATTTCTTGTTAGGATAAAAGAAGGGAAGCAAGGGATCATTTTAAATTTTGATTCACCGAGGGTATAAAGGGTATATAACCATATATAAATGTATAGTAATTAGTAACCTTTTCGTTCTTGCAACAGATGAGTCGAACTGTTGAATTATGTCAGGACAATACTTTGGGAGATAGGTCGTAGTGTATTTCCTTGCAATGCTTGTGCTTGTTAGATCTTAGTGCAAGCTGTACAATATCAAGTCTGTTAGAATATAGGTGTACAACCTCAACCCTCATAGCTTCAAAGTTTGCTGTAATGGTGAGGGACTTTGGGATGATATCAGAGCAACCCAGGACCCAGGTTCACATCCTACGGGCCACGAATTTAAATCATATTTTCTAAAAATTGACACCGTTGCATGATTCTAGGTTTCGATCCATAAAAGGACGATCAACCTGCAGGGACATGATAGAATATAAAAATGTAATCCTCAACCCTCACCACAACATTGGAGTATTGGCATAATGGTTAGGAACTTTAAGAGAGCCTTTATATGGATAGGGCTTGTGCATCCTTAGACTTTAGCTGTGAATGTGGAAATAGTGCTTTAGATGGAGTATGTGCTGAATATTGCTATGAGCATATGTTTCTGTGTTTTGTAGATAGAAAGTCAATGCGGATTCACATGTTACTTTTTTTAAAGAAAAAAATAATATTGAATTAATTATCTATCTTCGGTGAAATAAAATAGGCTACACGCTAAATACCTTACATACTGGATTAACTGATTTATGTTGTAATACACGTACATGTAAATGACTGCATTTGAATAAATTTATGCATAACATAAATCAATAGGTCCGTACATGCAGACTTATGAACAGAAAAATATGAAGAATTTGAAATGCAAAATCCATGTGGAGTGTCTATGAACTATGTGGCTGTGTAGTCAAAATTTAACAAGTGCAATATTTGGATGATAAACTTTTTCTTCCTAAAATTAAACAATTTCACAATCTTTGAACACAATATTATGCAACCACGAACTGTCATCAAACCACGAACTTTTTCTTGACCTCTACTTTTTCCTGAATTGACTATCTGCCTTAGATGTATGAATCTTGGTTCAAGTGTATTTACTCTTCGTATTTAGACGGACCCCTAATTCTGATTTCCTAAACAAGAAAAATATTATCTTCGTATGAATGTGAATGTGTTAAGTAATGAGAGATAGTTCCTTCAACGTATGTGTAAAAGTTTAAATGAATAATATGTTTAGAAAGTTTATGTGCTCAGTGAACGCCTCAAATTAAATTTCTCATTAGTAACTATAAGTCTGACATGTTGAAATAATATAACTTCCGACTGAACAAATCACTTGAAAGGAGGCTAAAGCTACAACCTTTAGTCCAATCCAGTTAAATAAAACCTAACAACTGTGCGGGGTTGGAATGGAAACAACCTTATGAGAGTCATTTGTTGAAGAAGTTTGTCAATTTTAAGAGCATGACATAGTAGTTTCAAGTGTTTTGACTATTCATTTCTAGTTTCGCATATTTCTTGGTTTGCTTAGAAATTATTGGCAGGAGCAAGAACATTGAGCCCAAGACATTGTTCTATAGGATCTGGAAGCCCTTGCTCGCGAGGGTTTTTTTATTGCCTACTTTTTCATTCTAATCATGCAGAAACCTAATTCCATTCTCAGCAAGTTAAGCTACACGTTGCTATTTCATTATTTGATTTTTAATATCTTAAATTACTTAATTAAATTGCAGTGTTAATCTGTGTAATGAGAGTTTATATTATCAGAAGATCAAATTTTATACAGTGGAATTTGGCTTTATTTGAATTTCAATGGTTACATGTTTATTCCTAGGTGGTTTTGGATCTAATGGTTCATCTGGACAAGGTTTTCAATCAGATGGGGATTCAACCAACACAACAGTAACAACTGATCTTTTTTTGCCTGCAGAATTTGGGGGAAGGTTTATTGTTACGCCCATTTTCACCTGTAAATGACCCAACATCCTTATGTGCAGGTTTTTGTTGGAGGACTTGACCCGAGTGTCAGCGAAGATGATCTGAAGCAATCCTTTTCACAGTATGGTGAAATCGCATCAGTGAAGATCCCAGTTGGAAAACAGTGTGGTTTTGTACAATTTGTTCAGAGGTATGTACGACCCATTATATGTTGATTGTAGTTGTAGCAGTATTCCTCACAACTTTGTTTTTGCTTAAACATCCCTGGTAATCGATATTATGCCGCCCCAACAACCACCCCACCCCCACCCTCCCAAAAAAAGAAAAGAAAAAGAAAAAGAAGAACATCTCTGTTGCGCTTGTGTGCGCAAATGCACATGCTTGTCTGATTATTTTTCTTTTACATATTATATTGTATGTCTGACCCATTTGTGGCAGGAACAATGCTGAAGAGGCACTACAGGGATTGAATGGCACTGTCATAGGAAAGCAGACTGTTCGCCTCTCTTGGGGTCGCAACCCTGCAAACAAACAGGTGCACTTTTTCAGTAATAAATAGCAATTATCAAGGTTTAGAACAGTAAAATTTAAACAGATGATATATTCATTTTGTTCTCATTACTGCACTTGTTTGGGGAAAGTTTCTCAGTTTTCAAAAATTTCCCAATCGTTCTTGGGTTTTACCTGGGGGAAAATGGTTTTCATTTCTTTCCCCAAGAATTACTTAGTCATACTGTATTGATTTTCAAGAAATCGTGTGGAATATTGGGATTTCCTAAATTTTGAAATCGGGGAGTAGAAAAAAAATACCCTACGCCCTGATTTCCAAAATTTGGAAATCAGGGGGTGGGGTATTTTTTTTTTTTGCATATTCCACTTTTTTCATGTAATACTTTATTACTAATTGCTTGGTTTTGATATTTACATATAAAACTACAGGACTTACATTGAAGTATGAGGGTGCATGTGAAATGTAAATATAAATATTGTATGACTTGAGGCCTCTCAATATAGCTTAAAATGCAATGCATAATGTCGTTTACGTGTTTTCTTATTGTTTAATTTAAAATATAAAAGATGTTCATAATAAGTTATAGAATTAGGAGCAAAATTTTAAAGTAAAAAACACTTCAATAAAATTTATATAAAAATGTACTGACAAGTATCTAATAGAATATTCAAAAAATATAGTCACAAATTTACATCTCACTCATAATTTCACATTCACATAATGATTGCACTAAAATAAGCCATGTAGGCTTAACAAAATATTCAAAAGTAATTACTTAATCTCTTAAAGTCTTCAGGTCTCCATAAATTGTATTGAAAAATTGTAAGTTATATTGAAATAACGTGAGTCATAATGAAGTATTGTAAGTTATATCTACTCACTAATAAGTTGAGTTATGACGTGACATAGTTAGTTCAAAAGCTAACAAAACGTTCGATGTCTGTTAGGTTGCTTATTGCAAAATATTGAGTTACGTAATGTGTTTTTTCAACAATTTTCTTATAATTGTTTTTCTCCGTTCTCATCAAAATCTGGGTAACAAGAGGGTTTCTGCCGCAGTTCTACTGAGGTGAACAGATTCCTCTCCTCTTTATTCACTTTGTAACAAAAGACAAAAGTTGCAAATTTTTCTCTGGCAACTTTTGGGATCCTTCCTCGGATTTTTAACATACTCCTGGAAACAAACATCCCCTAACAGAGAAAAAAGTTAGATAGGTATGCTTGAGCCTACGTATCTTAATTATTATGGAGGTGGCTTGCATTTTCTGTCTGCTTGGCTTTGAAATGTGAATGAGTTATAATTTACTCTCGTATAACGTATTCCATCATAAAATATAAATGTTTACATGTCTATATAAAAAGTAAACTTGACTCTTTAGCTTGACTTCTTCCTCTTCTTTCTTCCTAATTAGAGAGTGGATGTTAGCAATCAGTGGAATGGCATTTATTACGGAGGGCAAGTCTACAACGGGTACGGCTTTGCAGTGCCACCTCAAGATCCAAGCATGTATGCTGCAGCTTATGGAGCTTATCCTATCTATGGAAACCAGCAACAAGTGAGCTAAATGAGAAGATATAGTAATCCATCCCCACTGGAATCGGCATTTAATTGGTAGTGGAGTGACTGATAAACTTTAGGCAGTCAAGCAGAGGTAGCTACAGTCTGAATGGTAATGTAGAACATAAGCAAGGCGCTGAACTCCTATAGTACCGTTCACCATAAGTCTGATGGTGGTCTTAGATTGTTTTATTTATTTCTATAAATTTTGACTGGATGTTAAAGAAGATTTTGTTTGACGTTATATATATCGTTTTTGTGTGCTGGCAATGTTGGTTTTTGTGAAGTGAACCTTCTGATTTCTATTTTGGTTGATTTGTTGTGTATTTTTGTTATGATAGCTTCTGATTAGTTAACCTTGATGAGATAGGGTTTGATGAGTATGCGATACTGATATTTTTGCAGTTGGAAACTGTTTAATTTCCGATGGTGCTGTAGCATCTGATTGCATTGCACCTTTGTAGCATAGGAGTTGTTGCTTTTTGGTTCTGCGCTCAAGCACTGAAAAACCTGAGGAGCATTGGTGGAAATACTAAACCCGATTTTTCGTGGTTGAATGCTGTTTACGGTCTTTTTTATTTGTTAAGGGAGTGTTTGTTTCTTTTTTTTTTTGGGATATAGGGCGGATTTTAAGTTTTGGGGTGTAAAAAAAAGTTTTTTTGAGTTTTGGTATTCCATAAAACTTGTTTGTTTCAAAATTAATTTTGGAATATTGAATCTCCAAATAATAAAAAAGTAATATATTTTAGGATTTGTAAAATCCTCTCATTCATGTGGGATGTGGGGTGGATATTTAACAAAATCCATCCAGCTCATCGTTTTTCTTAGCTACCATCTTTTTTCTCAGCTCCCGAAACCAAAACCCTCATTTCCTTCACCGTTTCCCTCCTCTTTTACCCGCATCTATTTCCCGCTGCCAATTCCTAATTGCCGCCTCCTCTTCCCGCCTCGAAATCTGACCTGTCGCCTCCTCTTCCCGCCCTGAAATCTGACATGTCGTCGCCTCTTCCTGCTGGGTCTCATCTCCCTTCTCTATTTCCCGCAAACTAATTCCTGTCTTAGATCCATTCTCCGTCTTCTCATGAAACGTAAAAGGGAGAAATTTTTGCTGAAGTCGAACAAAGCAAAGAATCTCTGAGTTGCGATCTCATGCTTCGATGGTCAACCAACCCTAATTCTCACCGCTGCTCGATTCCTTTCTTCGCGCTCTCTTTGAAGGCTTCTCTCGAGGTTTGAATAGCCGACTTGAGAAATTGAAGGTAATTTGAAAATTTTGAGTTAGTTTGTGATGTTTTAGATGGAAGTTTGAGTTCTTTTTTCTATTAATTGTTTGTAGATCTGATATTTGAGCTTTTATTGTTGTTAAAATATATGGGTTTGTTGATTGGTTATGGAACAAACTTGCATTTAATTCGTTAGGAGGTTGAAATCGTGGAAATTTATCATTTTGGATCTTTTCTCAAACTTGCATTTAATTCGTTAGGAGGTTGAAATCGTGGAAATTTATCATTTTGGATCTTTTCTAGTAGAAAATAGTGGGAAATTCCTCTTTTTTGGTTGAAATCGTGGAAATTTATCATTTTGGATCTTTTCTAGTAGAAAATAGTGGGAAATTCCTCTTTTTTCTCTTGTATCTAAACATAGTTCTTGAAGATTATTCCACTTGAAAGTTTTCCACTTTGATCATTCCCTTCCAATTTTATTGAATTTTTGTGGATAATACTTGCATTTGTTATGTGGGTAGTTCTAAAGTCGTGGATTTTTTTGTCTCTTTTGGGGCCCTTTTTGGTAATAATTAGTGGAAATTTCCTCTTTTATCTCTAGTAGACAGAATTATGTTCTTGGAACCTTTTGCCCTTTGATTTTCACTTCAATCTCTGTCATTATCTTATAGCAAAAAATGGCCTTTCATTTTTAATCAGCTCCCAGTTCTTTAATCTTCACTTTTTCAGAACGTTTCATGTAAAAACCTTATCATTTTGCTTAACCCATGGCTTACATTAGAAATTTACGACATTTTCTTGCCAATCTCAATTAAAAAGTATGAGCTTGTTTTGACTAAGAGTAATATCTTTTGCTCTATATTCCGCCTTTGACTATGTGTTTATTAAGGTTAATTCTGAAGGATGTGAAATAGATACACTAGAACACTATGGGGGTGAATAGTATTCTTTTAAATTTTTATGCAAAGTAGATAATAATTGCAATAAAGAATGGCAACAATCTCAGAAAATTACAATCACAAACAAGAGATTTTATATTGGTTCCACCAATCCGGTGTACATCCAGTCCCCAAGCAAATCTCACTTTAGATTTTCACTATAATTTTGAACCAAGTACAAAATTAAAACCAAACCTGACCAATTTACAAGTCTATGCAAATTGCAACACCAATTGACAACACCTTGTCAATTTCACACCAATCTCTAGACTAAGAAATCAACCTCTCTCAAGCCGAGAGAACTTTCCTTGAATCAAACAACTCAATTCCTATAAGCCTTGATTTGTAGTGTTGTGTAGCAGTGGCTTAGGAATAATTTTAACCTCTGGAAATTGCCTAAATAATTTGTATTTTGAATGATGATCAAAGGCAATTTCAGAAAAGATCTTTTTCTCAATACTTAGCAAAATCTAAAATTTTAACTCTTAAAAAATGCACAAAAATTGAAGCTTATGGGTAGATAATTATGTGCCATTTTTCTGAACATATAACCTTTATATATCCCTTGAAAAGAAATTTTTTTTAAACTTTAAAAACGTTTAAAAACGACTATAAACTGTCACTAATTCAAAGTTTGAATTCTGAAAAAAAAACTGTCTTAGTAGTCAACTATAATGTTAAGTAGTCGACTACTCTGTATCACAGAAAGTCTGTAAATCAAAAATTGAAACTGAGTAGTCGACTATAATCCTTAGTAGTCGACTACTCTGTAAAACAGATGTTATGTAATATAGATTTCAATGCTCAGTAGTCGACTATAGTTACTTGTAGTCGACTACTCTGTAAAACAGATGTTCTGTAATATAGATTTCAATGCTCAGTAGTCGACTATAGTTACTTGTAGTCGATTACTCTGTAAAACAGAAGTTCTGTAAATCAAAATTCAAAGCTGAGTAGTCGACTATAATTCTTAGTAGTCGACTACTCTGCAGTTTTACAAAAACTTATATTTTGTTCTTTGACTTCAGTAGTCGACTACAAAGCTAATTAGTCGACTATTAAGAGATAAAAATGTAATGTATGAAATATTTTTAGACTCAATGATTAACTAAATACTCTAATGGTTAACATAGGGGATTTCTATTGTTAACCAACACACTAAGCCTGTGTTAGTGTGTTCTAATCTCTATGTGTGTGTGTGAGTGATCAAGGCTTGTACAATATTTCTAAGAAAAAATATAAAAAAATTACATTGATGTATATGTTCTTCATCTTCTTTACTTCATAATGCCTTGAACTCATCTTGCACTTGTTCATATTTGATGTTGAAAGCTGCATTTAAATGTTAGTGCATTTATATAACACACATAGTATAAATTGTTATCATCAAAATAATACCTTGGAGACATGATATTCAACATTTTCCCCCTTTTTGATGATGACAAACAATTTATACATATGTAAGTATATTATAAAAGAATTAGAACATTTAGAAACAAATATACTTACTCCCACTGCATAAACGCATATTAGAGTCTATAATATTAACATGAGTCTATAACATTTTTATAGCCTACAAGACCCCCTTTAAAGTTTTCAGACCTAAACCAGGCCGCGTGTGATCTGGAATACTTTGAACAAAGATGATCATCATTTATTGGTGGGCACGTGCACCCTAGATGAGTTAGTTGGTTTTGGGCGAACTCAAGTGACAGGCAAGCTCAAACAACAAAGCAGAGTCAGTCAAGCGGGTTCAAGCAGCTGGCGAGCTCGAACAGCTGGAGAGCTTAATAAACAGGCGAGCTTCACGTGTCGACAGGCAAGGTGAGTTACGTAGGCGAGCTCGAGAGAGAGGTGACCTAGAGAGGTGTGTGAGGTTTTCTCTCGCTAGCGAGATCCGAAGCAGCAATGGGGTGAGCCTCATGCTTGCCAGCTGGGGCAACGTGGGCGCGTCTAGTCGCATTAAATGGAATTTGACAAGGCGACCTCGTTTTCATGCGCCTCGTCTAGCGACGAATCGTGGCCATTGATTTTGAAAAACGTCTTCCGAATTTGGCTGTTGGATCGGCCATGAACCGTCTCTTGGTTTGGGCTTCGAATTCGACCCGCCCGGCCCGCTCCCTGTTTCGGTAGTTCATCTGTAACCGCCGAACTCAAACTGTTGAGAGCGATCTAAGCTGTCGATTTTGATCATGACAATGCCTCTCAACCTTCAGCATTTTGCCTTTAAATTAGCTTCGTCTCCTTCCTTGGGAGACTACTGTGCTTAGCAATTTTTGCTCGCTCGAATCCTCCAGAGAGAAAGAACTAGACTTTCATCGGACTTTTCTCGTCTCTCTTTCTTCGACTCTGACATGGAGCTGAAAACCTAGAAGTGCTTTTCGAGGGGAAAGGGCCTAAGCCGCTCTTTTGGTAGTGTCACCGCCGGTGCAGTCGCCAGCGTCTTTGGAACATACTTGGGTAAGTCCAGGGGGCTGTAGGATAACCCTGTATCGATGAACGAGGCGGAACTGAGAAAATGAGCATTGTTTGCTCATCTTCCACAACGAGCTTTGCCATTTCAGGAGATGCTCTGTGATTTCAGGCAAGTTCAGCCTTTTGTCAGGCGAGTTCAGCCTTTTGTCGGGTGAGTTCAGCCTCTTGTCAGGCAAATTCGGACTTTTGTTCAGGCGAATTCAGCCTTTTCCAGGTGGGCTCAGCCTTTTGCAGGTGGACTCAGCCTTTGTAAGGCGGGTTTAGTCTTTGTTTGGCGAATCCAGAACTTGCCAGGTGAAGTTGACTTCGTCAATTGAGGTTCGCCTGTGCATAGAAGGCCGTCTGTTTTGAGGTCTTTGAAAAAATCTTGCACTTCTAAGCCGGAATTTTCTAACTTTCTTTCACTTTGTTTTGTAGCCACGTTTTCTAACGAGGCCCTCCCAAAGGGCGTAGCCATCAGCCTTGCTAGTAGCACGGGCTATGTAGCCCCCTCTCGATTTCTGCTTCTCGACCCAGTGCTAGTGTTTGCTGTTGACAAATCTGCCAAATTGGTAAAGAAGGTGTCCGACGGGCATCATCTTACGTTGTGCGAGTTGATCACTGATGCAGCGCTAACGTATACGACCAGGAGGGAATTGTCAAAGCCCCAG